TACAACAGGGCAGGTTAGCTTGCTTAATTTTTGTCGCTCGTTGCATTGACATATGGTGAACAAATCCCAACCATTTGGGGGAAATGAGAAAAAATGGTTTCTAAGTCACATTTTAATCGAATATTCACCAGGCATTGGCTACAATTAGCATATAAAGCAATGAAGGTTTCCGTTTGGCTTGGCGCATACAAAATGTCAGCCGAGATTACCCATCTTCAACTAATTTTCACCATTCAGAGCATCTCCTACGAAACTATTTATGAAGTGACAAATGGGAAAATATGAAAACGAGATCCGGTAGAAATTGAACAGTGTCAGCGGAATTTTTTCTCATTCATGTCATCCAAACTGAACTCACTGATTTACTCTATTCATATCTTGATTGATTCCACTAATGTTCACTGGAACCCAGCGAAAAGAAGACAGACCGAGAAGTAACAAGTAATGGCTAAGAAAAAATCCAGCTCAGATTTTTCTAATTCTTGGCTTCACATCGCAGTCGGGGTCAAAGTTGGAGAGTCCAATGTCATAATTTACTCGAACGAAAACTTCGAATTTTGGACACAGCACGATCATCACCATTATATACACCTGGTAGCAAACAGATTGCCTGCTGAAAGCACTGAGAGTTGTAACTCGATAAGGATCTCAAAATAGTAGAGATGTTTATCAGGAAGGTCACCTCGATAGATCGCAACGATGATTTTTAAGAGTTCCAGTGTTTTTCCTAGCATTGAAAGGAAAATTCTCAGAGGAAGTTAGATTATCCTGCTGGTTCTACCAAAAAGTGGAATTAGCTTCTAACAATGTCTAATGAGGACCATGTGGAAGCAAACTCTCACCAACAGGATGCAATGTTTGGAAAAAGCAGTAGCGATTTTTAGAAGTATTTTTTTTAATTTCGTCCTAAGAGGTAGCGAGAGTATGCTGGACAGCTGATACCACTGTGCAGCTTAGTCATTTTTGCAGATTAGCAACAATAGTGTACAGCTTAGCGAGACAATAGAGGGATTACAATCAGATCTTCAGTTGACCGATCACAAGCGAAACAACTAAAATGTCTTAAATCAGATAAAACGCTTTTTCGTGTTGCCCACACATGATTACAAATAGCAGAAATAACTTTTGACGAATGTGTGTTTTGCGTGTGCAAACAATTTTTGGAAAATACCGTTTGGATGTGTATTTGGATCCGCGTGATTCGCTTTTCTACCATTGGCTCCACTTCTAAATTCAGAAAGCTGAGTATTCAATCTCACGCTTGGAAAAAACAATTACGTAATATGGGGTTGGTCCTTATAGGTCTAATGACAAACGTCAAGATGTAAAGGGGGCATATTCTCACCGCACTCGTCTGACACCCGTTTCTCACGAAATTGTCACAACAGAGTGTGCCTGTAAGTGGACATTTGCTTCGTGTCCTCCATCAAATTCGTTCATTTTTCTCAGTGGCTAGATGGCGTGCAGTGTGTTGGTAGCAGGTTAGAGCAGTGATGAAGCGGAAAGTTTCCGGTGAACAGCGATGAACGTGATGACTACTTAACGAGTTTGATACTATGCCATTTTACCTTCGAACAGCCTTTACACTGCACCATTCGATTGTTCAATAGGTGACATAATGTTGATCATATTCTTAAAAGCCGGAGTGTGGAAATCTAATGTCATCTTCATGTCGTTTAATGACTCATTGCTACTTTAGCTATGGATCGAAAGGTATTCGACCGTTGGACGCGAAGTTGCTCAGGCGCGGTTAGCCACGACGATCCCTCTTTACCTCACAGTTCTCTCTCATATATATCAGTCAAGCGACGCGAACTGACAAAGAATGCACTGAATAGGTGCAGTACAGCAGGACAACTTCATGGTGTTGAAAAAGATGACGTCGAAAAATATACCACTATTTATATCGATAGATTTGCTGCTCACAGCCAGAGGTTGGGATGCTAGAATACTTCCGGGGGTGTTGGGAAGTACCACCAAAACCGCCACTCTATCGCTACACACCATCACGCTCTCCAACAACGCACTAATGATGTCACATCGACTGGTGATGAAACGTTTGCAATCAAAATGCTCAGGTCAGCGAACAAACCAACGACCATCTACGCTACGTAAGCTACCAACATTTCCTCCATAGTATGTAAATGAGTAAATTTGTAAGAGGAAAATACCTCTATCCTGAAAACAATTCCAACTGAACCACAAGGGGGACTATGTGAATCACAATTTTGTCCAGAATCAGAAACTGAGTGATTCAGCCAAGTGTGCAGTTAACGCTGCTTTGATTTCCATATGATAGTTTATCTCTGCATAAGGTCGATTTGGTGATCATCTATGCGATAAGACCAGTGGAAATTCGAGGATCTCTTGAGTTTTCTCGGTTTATCTTAGGTGTTGCCATGCACTATCTATATTTAACAATTAGAAAGAAATTCCTCCCGGAAAATCTGTGTCTAAGCATGAATTCTGACGGCCGAGAGATTGTAAACGTTGGCATTTCGTCAGTATCCAATAAACATTAATATACGAGCCCGTATTATAGACATTCCACGGGTAGCATCAATCACGACCGTAGTGGCAAACCCTCATTCTATATCTTCTTGACTATAATGACGAATCACTCAGTTTAAGCATGTAGGTAATATGCTAGTTGGAATAGCCCTAATGGGTGGGCGTGTCCTAAGTGCTATGATAGACCAAAATCTCGTCCGTGCTTTGCGCTTGCTACTAGAGTCCGTATTGTACGGATAACCAGTTCGTGGTTTTCTTTCTCGTTGTCATGACAGCATGAGTTTTTTGGACGCTAGAGTTAGGCTGGTGATGAGAATTCCAGTTTCCAATACATTCTGCGTAACATTTCTTTCCTGATTAATCACGTACCACATCAATCTATACAAATGCACTATTGCATACATCAAGTGGGTTTTGGGCTGCCTGTTCTCTTCGCAAGAAGTGCAACTGAACACAACAAGACGGATTGCATCTTTGTGACAGATATACAACTACTGGTTATTTCGTATTCTGAACAGCCTTAGGTGAACCGTGGGGATAATAGTGACAAAATTACGATTGGTTTATCACCTGCATATCCAGATCAAAATAGATTCTCCTAAAGGAAGCAACTGTCTTTAGAAATTTCACCTTTCCTGAAGGCGCATAATGTGCCATGAACAGTTCTGGTTGTTCAAATCTCGACCGGAGAAACATGGACAAGACATTCTAGGTATAATATCCCAGCGAATGCTTTGTGGGTGAATCTGTGATTTTATCGTAAGCGGACAAAATGTACCGCGATAATAAGAGTACTCAACATTGATCCACGATAAAAGAAGAACAAGTGTTTGCACACATCTGTTTAGAACTTATCCGTATGCCACGAATATATATATATATATATATATATATATATATATATATATATATATATATATATATATATATATATATATATATATATATATATATATATATATATATATATATATATATATATATATATATATATATATATATATATATATATATATATATATATATATATATATATATATATATATATATATATATATATATATATATATATATATATATATATATATATACATTTATGTAATGTTATCCCCCTAGTTAGGTTCCCCTTCAGAGGAACGTCCCATCATGCGAGAAAGATGTAGCACAGCCGAACTTCTTCTGTGGAGAGAATATTTATAAACCAGAGCGTCCAAACCAACATAAACATACGTGACTAGTTTAGATAATGGACCATTTTGACCATTCAGAATCTGTAGAATGGCCAGAATAGATCACGACATTATTCCAATGACCGTTCAGATTTATTTAATACCCTTCGGCTTGTGGTGATTTTTAGACAACAAGGAGCATTGAAATAGGAGGCAATCCAAGCACAACCAGGGGTGTCTCCGGTAGTAGCAACTTAGCGTTCATCATTGCAACATACATGGGGCTCAGCGTGAATTTAGATGCGCCATAGGAATACACTGTATAGGTTTACAAAATAGGCACTGTGCTAATAATAGATGTATCAAAGGATCATACATTCTGAAAAGGAATGTCCCAAAGTTTTTACGATGTGACAAAATAAGGCTAGGTTGGAATGCTGCTGGAAATTCAACTTGTTGAAGCAATGACGAGACTGATTTCGTCTGGTTGAATTCCTCAGCACTGGCTATTGAACCTTATGTAATTGCGTTGGTCGCTCATCTGATCTGTCGTTGTTGTTGCAATAAAGATAGTAAAACAAAGTGAAATTTGTGCCTCTTTTCTAGAGTAGTTTCGGATCATCACATCCAGTAACCTCTGTGGAAGGGTACCACGAGTTTCGTACGTTCACTCCCTTTCATACGACTTGAGCAAAAGGTTCCCTCATGAGTTGTAATGTTTTTTTGCTGAACACATATTGTATATTTCAAAATACATGACAAACGCGCAAAATTATTGAGTAAATTTAGCACTGCCTGTTTGCGGAATTCACTCAATCCGCATCCATATCAACCTTGTTTGAACAGTCAACTTTCTGTGGTGGCGCTGTTGGTTTGGATATTCCTCAGAGAAATAATGCAATCATACTTGAGTTCGGCTCTTGTTGGAGCCCATCCGCCATGTGTATCACCACGAGGAAGACTTCAAACTCTATGGTGCTGTCCTTCTTGGAAGGCAGCCGATTGACTGACAGAACCAGGATACTTACTGGGACACTTACGAGCCGTACGAAACTCAAGGTAACTAGTTCTATTCTTTGATGTGGATTCTCCAAGATACCAGCCGTGCTATCACTGAACTATAGTAATAAAAACCTTACGGACACAAAAGAAAAGTACTATGGATGTTCAATACTTTTCCTTTCTGGTCTGGACTCAGAAGCTTAATTGCACAAGGACATGGGGACGATTGCTCAATAGATAATTATGTGAATACATGTTTGATAAAAACTCAACTGGATAGAGTGTCTTCATCCATGTCGATTTTTAAAACAATCTTACCTGGTGAAAAGCGAGCAGTATTCAATTCTAATTCAAGTGATGGCTTGACCAGGTTGCTCCGTTGCATGAATTCTCTTTCCTCCACATTAACCGGCAAGCTATGATCCGCCCACTCATTTTCTTGCGGTTCAGTCGAATCGACGAGTGCTTTGCGCTTTTTGCCACAACTCACAATCGTGACAAGGATAATTAAGAACACAAGCACTCCTGTTGCGATTGTCAAGCAGATGATTGCTGCCCAGAATACCTCGGGTGAGTTGAGTACACTCCAGTAACGTGCATCCAATTCTGAGTTAGTTTCTCCGTCTTTTTGGGCCTGCAGAAGACCAAGGTGGTAATTTTGCATATCATTGATGTATCCTTCTTTGTTAACCGTATGCTGGATGCTACCCATATTGGGGGAATCAGCGAAAGTTTCATCGGCAACTGGACTCTAGAAAATATAAAGCATACAGAAGTAGATCTAAGCGAGGGCGAACCAAGTGCCGATACAAAAGCAATAGACTCATTTCAGCTGCGCTGGTCTAAAAACGTTTGATGCAATTCTGTTGAGAAGTAGTAGTATTCAAGTGACGACACTCGGTATACTGTCTTAAAGTTTCTCAAAGTCCCAAATAAACAGGTAAATATGGCATGAAGTGATACCCATAGTAATACCAGCGCAAGATCATATTGTATATTCAACTGACACGAAAGAATAAAACTGATAATTTCAGTTACGCATGGGTACTTGAACTAAACCGCCTATTAGATTTATGGATTGCCGTAATTAGTTCGCAAAAGTACTTAGCATAATCTCTAATCAAATGCTTTACATGGGTTCAGCAATCAAGCACGACAATCGCAACTGACACTGCTTGCACTGGTGCTTCACAGTAAAAGCACTTCAAAGTAGCCAACAATACCCGGATAAAAAACAGTCCTTACTGAAATAGGTACAGGGCTCCCCAAGTATGGCCTTCAGAACAAGCGGGTTCTATGCCTAATCAAGGTTCAACATTGCTTCCATGAACCTGGATAAAAAATTTCAATGCGGAGGAGTACAAAAAACGGATGGGAAGCCTTTGTAGGTGGCCAACAATTTAGGCCAAACAAGACCAGTGGAATCACTCAACGTAGGAAATATTAATACTCATTTGATGTCTAGCTGTCGTACTACCCGGAGGAAGCACGAGAGCCGAGATACTACCAGGTTGCCCAAGCATTAAGAGGAGCGGCTTAGATGCTGAGGTTGGGTTCTAAACACTGGCACTTCGGTCAGTATGCTTGCGCCCTAACTCCTGAGCCATTTCGAGATTTTTACAGAAATATTTGATCGAATTTCTGCTCTCGTTCTGTCCAAAACGTTGACTTGGTATCACATTCACGTCAGCTGAATGTTGGGAACATTTGAATGTAACTGTTTGACGTGCTCACTAAAGCTAAATCTGTTATATATCCTATATCACATATACCATTATATTATATTATTATTTATCGTTACACTGCTATATATTACGTTATTTGATATATCATATAGTATACATACTGCACTGTATCATGACATTATATATTAACGAAATCTGTAAACTGAAGATCTACGTGTTATTTCTGTGTTCCCAACTGACAGGCGCTGTTAACCAACTGTGAAATTACTGAATTGGCTGCGGGGAACAAGAAGCCACGAAACCCCACGTTGCAGAGCTTTGTTTACTCTATCCAACCAGACGCGCACTTGATTGTGAGACTATCCGGACGAAACTTGAGATTAACAAAGCGGCTTACCAACACAGTTTGCTTATATAAAGCATACCTTACCGTTGGTCACACTCTAGATCTGTGACTAGCACTTACTGCAGCATTTAGCGGAATAACTCGTATGACGAGCAGAGCCGTGGTCGACAAAGGAGGAAGTCCTCGATCGCTAACAATAACCTTGAGACGATATTCAGTCACAGTTGTGTGAGGGTCCTTTTTGTTCAGGATGTCAGGAGGTTGGGCGCAGACGCTATCCTCCGGCGCACTAATGATTGTTAGCAAACCACTCTGGGGATCTATCTGAAATGGCAGTAGAGTAACGGAACGCAGTTCATCCGGTTCACGGTCCGAATTTCGGAAGGCGATTTCCATTTCTTCTGAATTTGAGCTGTTCAAGAGCGCGGGAGTATGGTTCAAGGGAACCGAACTTGAGAATTCATTTGAGGATAACATCGGTGCATTAGAGTGACCAGTGTTGATATTTACTGCCGAAACAGAGTCCGATGTAGAAATCCGGAAGGGACTGAGCAGGAAGAGTACCTCAGCATTTATTCCGGTGTCGGAATCGTTGACTGATATTTGAGCAATTGTATACGGCAAGCTTCGTAGATTTGAACACGTCAGTGTAAATGTGGCCTAGGAGGGGAGTCAAGATGATGAACGTTAGACAAAAGGACCAAGCTAAGTCGAAAGATTCACAAAAATAATTTATAGCTGTTGATTTGGCTGATTGTGAGTTGTTTCTAAGCAGATGTTTTGTTTTGACAATGGAAGGTCTTTGCAACCAGTTTATGTAGCAAAAAAATGACCACACTTTTCCCGGTATGTTCTTTTGTTCGTTTCATGGCACACCAGTTGATTATCAGGTTAGGTAATTCATTCGGAAGAAGTAATAATGAAGCACTTGGGAGTTTCCACTGCAACTCATTTTTCAGTCTCCACTATGACCCTATTCATCAAGCATATACGGTCGGTGGAAAACCGAGCTCAAACAAAATATTCGGTATGCAGATGAAATCAATCTTCTGATTAATAATTCGATTAAGACCACATTCTTTTGAGAACATTTGATATTTACTTTCCAACAGTATATGAAAGTACTACGTTCTCCATGTTTTCAAGTTAGGCGAGAAGGTGTTTTGCGGTTGGAGTTGACCACAGTCAGTCGCATTAGTTTCATTGTTTTCGGCGCACTCTTATGGGCGCAGACAGCAGGGGATAACGGTGAATTCCCTTCGTATGAATGAAATAAGCATGTCAGAATGCATAATTTCGCGTTACTTTCGGCCACAGTTGTACAGGTTTTTGGAAAGAGGGCTGCGTTTAAAATCGACTGCAATTCGTTACCGATGTAAGTGTATGATTTGGATCACACTGCCATCTCAGTGGCCTGAGAATCACCTTCTCCGCCTTGCAATTCACACTGCGACAGATGACATTGTTCTGATACGACTGATGTACAACAGTATTTTAGTCATGTTGGTTCTTGTGATCCACAGTATCGGTTGGAAACCTCGGAAGGTCTTTTTCAGCACACTGGGAGACGCAGTTTGACGCGTTCAGAATATATATCTCACATCTAGGCTGATAAACATTTGCTGCAACGCATCACCGGCACCGTCCTCTTATTCCCCTCTTTGTCCGTTTGTCGATTTGTCCATGTGCTGAAGTGTGTTCAGACGAGATTTGAACGGATCACTCACTTGTACCTATCTTTCGTTGAAACAAAAACGCAGATTTGGCTGGAGTCTTCGTTGTGAGAGAAATGCCCCTGACGTCCGCGTGACAAAAGAGATGCTGAAGTTTTTTGGTTGAACTTCCAGGACTCTTTGCACAAGGTGAACATCATGGAGTATCTGTGTTCTTTGCAGTCCTGAGTCTGTATCAGCTACTCACCATTAAGCCAGGCAGCACAGATGCTGTCATCATCGGTCGCCAAACTAATGGATGAGATGGGACACAGTCCTGAGCAGAGTGAGTCGTTTGCCATTTTGCCAAGCGACGCGAAAACGGTTCGCCTAGCAATCAGAGACGGGGTACTGATCAAATTCCGATGGCCCAAAATTTCGCCTCAAAAGAACACACGCCGCAGATTCTTGCTGATTTGTTACGGATCAAATGACTATTTTATTGGTTTTCAAACCTTTCCAATAAAAATTTCGTCATGTGGGTGAAAGAAGCACCGCACATCTGTGTTGTCTTCAGTGAGAATCATCACCAGTAATTATTTTGACGAAACTCTAAGGTATTTCGAACCCGTGATCTACCAACGCGTACTTTGGATACTTAATCATTCGACTTGCAGGCAGCGTGATTGACTTCACCCGGGATGAATAAGGCGCCACTCGTCTTTTAATCATAGAATCCATATTACTTGGTCTCGTTGCGACTGGCTCATCGAGTGACGATTTCCCGGAGTAAAAGTTGACTGATCGCGTGAATTGTTCTTCCATTGAGCTACTCAGAGTTTGTTGGTAACGTGCGGAGAATTGGGGATTATCAGTAAAAGTTTCGTTCTGAAAGTGAAGCCTATATATACCATAAATCCTAGAAGCAATGTACATCCTTACTGTTGATCATCATCAGTGCATTTGATATTTATCGGCAGTGTTTTCTTGACTCGTTCATGTCATTCATGAAGGCCTACTTTGACCCCAACCGACAAAATGGGATAGTTTAATGGTCGACTGGACTATCCCGCAAGGTTTCGTTCTTAAGAATTCTTGTTTAGGATAACACAAAAATCCCTACCGTGATTCACACACAGTTGGTACCAGCCCCTGCTTCAACTTCATCTGCATAAGACCGTTGGTTTGAAGCCGGTCTCGTTGTACCTTTAATCTCTGCGCATACTTGCACCTCATTCAACATTGAACCCCGAAATCCCATTCTAGACCGCCAGCAAAAAAGTGCTATTTACATCAGCGCGTGTTGTTGATGTTGACTGCTGATTTATGGGTATTTATAGGAAAATATTGATCATACAACCCAGAAACGAACAAGGCATTATGACTTTGTGGCACTACCCGCCTTGACAAGTGAAATTCGTACGATCCTCTCTATTGTTCATGATCACTGCACCACCTTATGTCTATGGACGGAAAATACAGGTTAGCTGAGTAACTGAGGGAATATAGGTTCTTTGTGAACCGACGGGGAAGTTGACCTGCTTCCAAATGATCCAAACTCTTCAGAAGTAGCGGTCCTGATCACTTCCTTGCTTCGCTCCAGGCTTTCAGGTATAGTGAGCCACTGTAATAACAGTGTTCAAAGCGTGAAAACTGTATGAGCTAGTTTAGTTTCGTGACGCTTGATTCCCTCCGTTGGTTTAAGCATATAATATATTGTAGAATCAGCGTCATTTCGGATAAAAAACCTGAGAAATATGACACAAATTGGAGGTTGCTGACTTGAACATTGGTCAAACTCCCACTTCATGGGATAGCCTTCGGCCCCTGTGGAAGTTATTGCGTTCACCCAAATGAATCTTATTTCAGTTAGTATCCAAATACATTTTGCAGGCAGAGCATGTAGTGACAATGTGTTCACGCACCGTTGACCTGAACAGTTAGCCTCTGGGGAGTCAACAGGCTACAGACGTTGCGGCCACACATTCGATTTAAAAATCAGCATTAATTAACTCTGCGCACACACAGCTGAAACTAAAACGCAAAGCACATCAAAAAACAAAACCACCTGTCGAATTCTAGCTAACCGCCTGATTCATCCCGTCTGGTTTTTTTGTTACTTTGTGCAGGCAGCCAAGACAGACGTGATCGATCACGAAGAAACAATGCTTAAATGCACGGATGCCACAAACTGATACACTGCCAGAGGTGTGGTAATATTTCGGTATCTTTATTAAGAAGTGTCAGGGAGACCTTTCTGCTTCCTACTGTTTTCTGTAGTCCAGGAGCACTTGCAAAAACTACTGCACTACAGAAAGTAGTCACTGATAAGCGTCAATTTTATCAGGCTAGTTGTCTGGCCAAATACTGCTGGAATTCTCGTATGTTTCTGATCAGTGAAGACGATTTATCTGATGGGGAAATTTTTGAAGTGGAGTGTTTGTACAGTTAAACCGGGATTTTACGTTTACCACCTGGAGTTATTTTTTCGTTATTCTGCGGGTGCATTTTATATATATGAGACCACTGCGACTGAAACTTACTCTTGCTTTTTATTCAAGGCCATTCGTTTGACCTACTGTTTTAACCAACCCACCTGAATATGAAAGAATGCTTTGCTGATCATTTTGAATAGAACAGTGGGGAAACAACGTTAGACGATCATTATCATTCTGTGCCATCTGTTTTGCCTGTAATTGACGGTTCACAAGACGCTTCATTATATTCTGGGTTAGTAAGCTTCAGTGAAATCAGCATGACTCAGACTCAGGATACTCTGTGATCTCAGCCGCGTGTAGTAACGAATCGACGATGGAGGCCCAAGAAACCCAAGTCCATATGGTCTGTCACATATGTAAGTGAGGACAAGATGGCTCCAGTCAGAATTCCCTCAGAAGGTGACGCCATAGACCGCGTAGCGTTTGAGACTGCGGTGCCTTGATGACGGAGCCGAAGACGGTGAACCACTCAAAAATGTGTATTTTGGTTCTTTCACATGTGTCGCAACGGTTAGGAATGTTGGTGTCACTGCTTTGTCCAGATCGGTTTGCTGTGTTATGACTGTTTGACTAGCTTTGATTACGAAAGCCAAGTAGCAAAAGGCTTAGTTCGCCAGAGCATTTGGTTGGTCAAAGTAGGCAAATCAGTTTGAATTAAAGAGTTCGTACTACGTTCATGTGCAGAACACACTTCTAAGCAGCAGCGCTTTTCTTCCGTCGTTGCACAGTTCTAGGACCAGTCGCATGACAGCCCATTGATTGGAAGATATTCATCACAGTTCATCGCCTTGTATTCCTCGGATTTGTAAACATTACCTCCTGCGGCAAAGCCAACAAGTGTCAGAGGCCATCATCAAGTTTTAAACTGGAAAACACATGTAGCTAACAGTTCAGTCTGAGGGAGTCACCTAGGGACTCTTTCCTCAGCACCGTCACAGCAAGCGGCAATTGTGTTACACCTCACTTGTTCCGTTTTTCTGAGTGTCACAACCGACAGATTTTAAAAAGCTGTCAACAATAAGTTATCCATAGGCGCTAAGACATTTTACAGGTTGTTCCACTTACGATGGAAAAAACTCTGTGGTGCCACATGACAGATATCAATGACAGAAGTGCATGATTCCTGATTGCAACATGATTAGGCATGTTGCTTTTGGGGGCACAAACGGGTAACTTGATTGAGCCAAATAAGTTGTAGTATTACATATCTTAAAGCTTGATAAAAGTCGCTCTAGTGACACATAACTTATACCGCATCACAGGACCTTCTCGGCACATATCATTTCTAGCTAGACAGTCAACACGAGATCACGTGCCGTGAGCTGTAATCATAGGATGGTGGTGCCATATCCTGTCTACTTAAGAATGACCCAGACCTTGTGATCAGTTATCCAAACCTTATGTTGCTCTGCTACTAACCGGTAGGACGAAGATGTGACCTTAGCAGAAGTTCGTGAGATGCGCACCACTGTTGTTATCAGCGGTGATTCGTATGGCTTCCAGCGGCGTCGTTGGACATCAGTTCCGTTATCAAATTTTCATTAATCAAGTTCCTTTGTGTTTTCGTTAGCGAACGGCTTGTAACTTTTTAGTCTGTTTCCGTTTTCAAATGAATTGGCTATGTGATAAAGCACCATGGAGCACTCCACATTTGTTTCTTCCTTACTGGAAGCGCCTTACGATTCTATGGATAGACGAAAACTGGGAACCGCCCTGAGATATGTATGAATATTCTGTCATTCAGTTATCGGCGACTGATTGGTACATAGCACTCAGACTCATTTCGTTTTGCCCTCCACTTGGTACAGCACTTAGTCTCATTTCGTTTTGCCCTCCACTTGAATTTCGCGACATGCGATCCATACTCATTAGGTACCATTAAAGTGCTCACGGTTGTCTGCCCTCAACTCAACTACAACAGCTACGTCTTTCAATGCCCGGATGTCTGTTTTCTTTGAACTGTTTTTTTACTCCACACTGGACGCCTGTATTACTGCACCACAGTGGACCACTGGCGCCATTTGCACTCAAAGATTCCCACTTTGGAAAAAACAAACCATCCCCATTTGCCAGTAAAATTCCACATGCTATGAACTAACAATGGGAACCCGCTTTCGTCAGTCAAGCATGCCGAATGAAACCGCAAGTTTCTTCTAGAGGGAATGTAAAACATTAGGTTGCGCGGTCGGTCACAAGCCTAGATTAGCCTTATGTTATAACGGCGCCAGTACTCACAAAGGCTGTCCAAAAAGCCGAGAAGGCTTCTTTAAAAACGATAAACTTTGGGAACCTTGCTCTACTGCAACTAGTTATGGATAATAAAACGAAAGGGGTGACAGAACTCTAATGGATGATATTTTGAAAGATCAACGGACGACTATGGTCAGTTTGTGAAGGGGACATTCAGCCGATGAAACGACATGCTTGAGTGGTCTCCCTCGAGGCCTTGACACTAGCAGTGACTACTAGCCCATTTGGATCAACATCTTGAATGTATGCTTATCCTACTGAATGATCCGCAGCTAACAAGCTTTCCAATATTCAATTTTCAAAAATATTCACAAATTTCTCCTGACATTCTGAAGTACACAATTCTTTAATGTTTAAACCATTTTGTTCCAGAGATTTCCTCAGTGTTTTTCTTCCAACTTATCCGTCCAAAGTTCTTGTTTCTCAAAGTGTCAGTTGAAAGCCCAGGTTTTCTATCCAATCCAGGTTAGCTTTACGAGTATCCAAAAAATACGGAGCTGCTATTGACCCAGCCTGATTTTGGGCGAGGACTTCTAACACACATGTCTATATGACACGCGTAATGTCAGTCTTGGTATTTGTTTCTGTTATAAAACATGGGGATGTCATGAAATTTTGTGGTGGAATTCGTGCCACACAAAAGCCTGTGACCTACAACTCAAAATGTCCGTGTGTCTTCAGTTGTCACCCAGAACACCATGAGTTCTAACGCTCCTGAATATTATAGGGATCTTATCCGATGATTATTATCAAAAGAAATGCTTTTATGAAGTTCATCTTAGATGACGACAAAGCTAATCAGTAAAAGTTTAGTACCTCGGTTCCAATCACCGGATCATTCCTAACAAAAATTTTATACCTACCAGACGTTTCTCTGGATAAATTATTCGCGGTGCATTGTCATTCTCGTCATCCACCATAATGTGGACTATTGTGTGCACATGATTGCGTTCAGCGATCGGCAAACCTGGTTTATCACCCACGGGCTCGCCATCGGTCACTGTTACCACGAATTTATACGAGGCTTTCCGCTCCCTGTCCAGCCCACGCAAGGCAACATGCAGTTCACCAGTATGCTGGTTGAGCTGAAATAAAAGATAAAAAATACAACCGCTACATAACTATGAAAAGCCTTCATTCATTGAAATGTCAAGTTAGCATAACTGATATTCTGAAGGCAAAACCTGGCTGATGGTCCTGAAAGTGCATTGAACCCATTGCAAATTTGCACAAACAAATTGATGGATGGACACGATCTCATTAGTGAGGCTTCAGCGACATTACTGATTAACATTTGTTTATCTGGCATCAATTCTTTGAGTACTTTGGTCTGTATCACTTTAGAATATACTGTTCAAAGTAATTTACAACAATCCTGAGTTTAATCTAGTAGAATAGCGTTGATTGTTATATTTCTTTCTGAGAGCGACGAAAAAGTGCACACAATCCAATGAAGAAACCAAATCACCTCTACATCTACTGCATATTCTGTAGTGTAGTAGGTTGCAGACGATTTTGTAGGTCGGACCAGGTGGTTTCTTTCTCTTACGAATGGTATCGTGCAAACCTTTGAAAATTTCGGTCTCCATTTGAGTGGCGCTTCTTTGAAATGTTCATCTTTCGAGAAGAACTAGTTTCTTGTTAAATTGAAGTAAACTGGCGTTCTTCTTAAGTGCTTTTTTTAAAACTTATATAACTCAATCAAAAAACACAAAGAAATAAACAGAGTTAAATGCAATCTTTGAAACCTTAATATTCACTTTTCAAACAACACTGAATGATGAAGGTTAAAGGCTTCAGTGTGATTTTTTAGCATAATCACTTCCGAAAGTCAATTGACTAGGCTATCGTCGAGCTAACGGATGGTAAAAATAGTGACACCTCATGTCACGTATTTACAGTCGAAATACACACGAGTCCCGCCACAGCCAACCCTAAGATACCACCAGACAAACATGACAGTCGATCGTCACATTGAGCGAGAGGCCAATATCTCATGGTGCGGGAAAGTGGGAAATCCATTTTTTGAAGAGTTGTCTAGTAATTTGCGTATGAAGATGACACTGAGAAGAGAGTCAAATGTGATTCAACTGGATCTCTAAAAATTTAAGTAACATATTTGTGTCAGTGTAATTTCAGTCGAATGAGAAATTCATGGAGTAAAATGTACCGAAACGTATTTTTATGGACCATTTTGCTCCCATTTTCTTCAAACATGTGTAGACCGTTTGCAGTTGTTATAAACTCGTTCAATACGAGCTGACTACTGATGAATCTTCTGAATACTTATTAAGGACTTTAGCATTTGATCTAATAACAAAAGACAGATGCATTTGGATCACAAGAAACTGAGTCATATGAGACTCTTTATCCTCATTCATACTTATCGAGCTGGTAAACAGGGGTAGCAGTTTCATAAAGCTGACCAAAATATCACACATTCGGCGGTGAATCGAGACCAGAAAATCTGTTTGAACCCGAAACAAGGAACCAAACGTCACAACTAATTCAAACTTTAGTTGTTTAGTTGCTCTGCTTCCACTGTCAAAACCCATTAGGCCGTTGTACACAATTCTGTGCTGATCACAGGCTTTGACCGGTTGATTTAGTTCACATAAAAGGGACGTCATTCAACCAAACGTATCGACCATCTGTTTTTGCCCGCGTCTCGCCTCTTACATGTTCTCAAACAACCTTCACGTAGAGCACTAGTCATCTGGTTTTGTAACTGCAATGCTGAGCAGGTAATTCACCAAGCCAGACATAAATCATCTGCCCGTACGAGTCAAAAATCATAACAATACAACACAGCTGGTACTGTAGCCTAGCACGCAAGACTGTTGGGACTGAGCTATATGCCTTTTTGATTCCATATTCTGACTTGTTGTCCCCGGTGTGTTCCGCCGATTTAATCATCATAGAAATTTTACCAGGTATTGGTGCATAATTGTTGTAGAACTACTAAGAATATTTCCATGGTTGTGTATGTGACTTCCATGTATGTCGTGTCGTTGTGCAGAAAAACTGGTATACCGAGCAACACTGATTGTAAACTTATGCAGTAACATTGAAATCCACTTCGTTTTGGAAGTGATAACTGCCCGCACACAGGGATTAACCGGATGGGTCAGCTTGAAGAAAGTTTTACCGGTGTGGTTTATTAGATCCACCATCACCCATTTTAGTGGCGTGCCCTTGAGTAAGTGTGCAGGATACAACAAATACACATTGGCAGTCAACAGACCATATTCGCATGAAAATGGGTTTGACGGTCCTGCAGGGAGATGGATCGTTATTCAGTTGTTCTGCTGAAAACAATATTGTCTCGCCACTACAGAAAATATGTACGTCTAAACGTTTATCACGCAATAAGCCATGCTGAGACAATCTTTCAGTTTATTTTTTCAACCCATGTTACTGTATGCTGCTTTGTCATCTTGTCTAGAGGCGCTTTCCGTTTGCGTTGGTTTTCTTTGAGGCGGCGATATAGTCATCAAGATTGTCCAAAGTGATCATCACATTATTCTGAACAACAATACAACGTAAACACAAATACACGGGTACCCTCGACTGGATCTGTAGCTGAGCTGTGTCCGTTAGCTCCGTGCCATTTTGTTCCATCTCAGTGGACAAACAATCCCACTCGAATAACGCCAAACTATCTGTCCTCGGGCAAAGGCGGTCAGGCTGCTGCTTAGCAAGTCGGTTTGAGGTGTGATTGGCGCATGGGCATCAGAAAAACGATACAAAAAGGTCCTATATATCTTAAAAAAGATATTCAGGAAATATTTGTAAGGTTTTAACAGGATCAGTGAACGTGAAAGACGTGAACACTTAGGACGTCTTGAAGACCACGTTTTGGAAACCAAGTGTGTATCTATGTTAATCCGCGCTAACTAACCGGTTCGGCTGTCCATATCTTAAAGGTGTTCGAGTTCAAATGGAAGGACACAGAAAGCATGCTCAACGACACCAATGACTACATTTCGTCTTACACTCTATCTTATTCATTCATTCCTACTATTACCACTTCCTTTTGAGTGTACAGAAAACTTCCGTTGAGTGTCACACTGGTCTGGGTTGTAACCATGAATGTAATCATGGGTTTGGGGTACCTTGATGATATTAGTTCGCACACCAAAACATTTTACAAAATGTAACGTAAATAGTTTGCGTAAAGTAAATGAACCGACAGCGTCTTGCATGCGCGGGCGCATTTAAACTCAACTCCTCAGTTAACTACTCACCTTTATCGTTCTAAGAGTCTTGTTCTGACCCCACTTAAAGCTGTCCAATCAGTCTTCACCACGGAATAATTTTAAATATGCGGTTATTCGAATCCTTGGTACTTTGGCATTATCAGGGCGTTGTCACTCTTTGGTTTGTTGAAACCACTCTGATACATGGCTTGCACGAATCCTGCTTTAATGTATCCCACCGAAAGTGTCCCTATTTTAAAGATGTACATTCGTATTTTTCAAATCTCATTAGGTTCCCAGGAGAAGATGCCACAACATCCATGCTTAGGTCCACCGGTTCATGTGATACCGGTTCCTGTGGCCAGTCTGCAGATGCACTTCCTCCGGAAAATGTTGCCCTGTACTCACATTCAATAAAAGATTTTATTGAACATCGGTCGTCTTAACGTTAGGCAAACCGATACGAATGTACCAATGGATGAACCGATCTCGAATGAAGTTCCCTTACGTCGTTGGAGTAACGATATCATTTTCCTTAAAGAGTTAGAGGTAGAGCAACCGATAAGAGTTTATCATTAGTTCATTTGGCTGTATGGTGAATAGTTGGAAATACAACGGCTGAGTCGATCGGTGAGCTTGGAAATTTTGTTGCAGACGTTCAGTCGACGTGGTATTACCAGTGCATAATGTTGTAGTAGTCCACCGATGGGTAGGCTGCGTAGCGTTGCATCCGCGTGCCCATGCGTTCTGCTAGCCCGACGGTGAACATTACCTATGACTGGTTATTTAGATGGTCAGTTACGCCAGCTGGTCTATTAGCTTATGTTCTCGCTGGTTGACACACGGCATATTTTGAGCTCGATCACTCCAAACTGCAGTCGACTCCATCGGCTTACCCGATAGCCTGGCGTTCCACTCGGGTAGACGGTCCCTTGTTATTCTTCGGCTAGTTTACTTCAAGTTACCTATGTTCATTGGTTGAATTTGTTCGGAAGTGCCAGGGGTTTTCAAACACTTTTTGCGCTTGCATGCAGCAGGCTCTTAACGTTTTGCTTATGAATATCAGGGACAGTGTTCCCTACGCTTGTCATTCACACCAAATGACCAGGATGGAGTTACCACAGCATGGTATACATCCGGTATTTCATTACGATATAATGACAGTTGAGTACCAGAAAATCAAGAGCATCTTGTATCTCATTGATTCTCTTACTAGTATTTAAAGCATTTCAAACATCTTACAACTCGGCTTCGTGCATGTGAAGTTTATCGCAGTCACTAAGAATGGGGGGAGTTTGATAATGGGTTATCAGCTCATACACAAATAATCAGTGGTTAACTTGGACGTACCTATGACCCATTTGTTTTCAGTCAAGTACCATACTCTTTATTAGCCTAGACATTTGGCTGTTCAGAAATAGTGGAAAAATGAAACAAGCACGCCACTACAAAGATAACATAATTTGGATTACATCAAGTTCAGATAAGGAGCAGCATCTGTTGAAGAGCAATTCGTGTGGCGGTGACCCAGTGAAAAATTGTACTGACTAATAGCGTTATTTAGGCTACACTGAAAAACCATCCGTGGTAATTCAGTTTCGGACCTACCACCAAATTACATCCCAGATGCGGTTTCGATCTAGTTTAACCAACAGCAACAACTCAAATTTTGGCTGCACCTGGATCGGATCGCACGTCAGAACCGTGCACTCTTAGTTGGCATACTCCCCTTGGCATACTTCCTTTCGTAACCCGTGAACTGGCGCAATGCACTGATTTCAAAACTGCTGATTTACATTCCAGAGTTAATTCACGCGGGTCCATTATCAGGTGGTTAGTTTGCGAATCAAGCTGATAAGTTCTAAATATCTGCACCCTTCGCCATT